TGAGAAATCTTTTTAGGTTGCTTTGTTCAGGTTGGCAATAACAAACCTATGGCTTACTTGCCCCTCTAAATGAAAGGCGCAATCTTTGCGCCTAAACATATTTAAGGCGTAAGAGTATTTATTTAAAACTTTCTATATGTCTGAATTACTGCTTCTCTCTGAGTACATAAAAGACATACATCTAGACATAAAACACGAAATACTAACAGTACACTCGTATGAAGCTGGAGATACGCTAGCGCGGATAGATTATATAGTTTATTTATTAAAGTCAAATACTGAGATGGCGAGAATTGTAGCGCAGAAGTTTACCCGGCGACACTTTTTGCTTGGTGCATGGTTTTTTCCAATACGAAACAGGAAACGCTCGCAGAGTCATATTCAAGGACAATAGTGGTAATGTTTGAAACAAAGGTTTTTCAGTTTATTTACTGCATAATTTTCTTTAACACAATTGACTATGTGTTTCTTGTTGTTCCATAAGGCCTGCGCTTCTCACCTATTTAAAATGACAGAAATAAAAATATATCGGAATTTTCTTAATATTGACGGTGGTATTACCAAGCTATCAATCGCCGCCTGATTTCTTTAGGATACGTCTCCGAAACAGAGATTGAAGATTTCCGTTAATAACAAAGAACACATATTTCCTATCAAAATACCAAAAATAAGTATTTTTTAGAAAACATATACGATCATGTCAATCAATTCAGGAAGCTCTAATGTACTTTGTGGATCTACTTCGGATTGACTAAATGTGTCACGGGACATAAGCGAAGTCCTTAAAAGGTTCCAATAATCACAAAGACTAACAAATCTGAACTCAGTATGTTGCGTTTCCAGTTATGAGCCTCGCATTTTCACTGTTTCTAGTTTAAGAGGTCAGAAAAATTTTGTTCACGGGCACCATATAGTTCACTGCTAAATATATGCCACGGTCGTGTGGTCGCAATTTAAGACTGAATATCAACTTTGTGCTTATATAAGTAGAATGAGTTTGAGGCTTTAGAAGATCTCATATATGTACACGAGGGTCGCTGATTCAATCCTCGCCAACAAGGGACTTTACAGGAAATGTAAGTAGTTAAGTTATATGAGTAACTTTCTTTGTTCGCACGGGTTTTATATTATATACATAATTCATCCAAAGCTATTATTGCCCCATTTATTATTGCGAATGTTGTTATACATAAGATTTTCAAATCGATTACGTAATGTACAATACGGCACATTAGTCCTGTATTATATAATCGTTAATTGTACAACCATGAATCATATTCATTGATAAATGCGAATAGATTCAATAGGCAACCGTGCTTACTATGAATGTGATGACTACTTTGGTCGTTTGACAAATTAAGTACTCATTAACAAAACAGTGGCTTATCAGGAACAATACATTTTTAATCTGAAACAAAAGATACTTGAAGTGCTTTTTGTTTAAAATCATAGGGCTGAGTTGACGATTCAGATCCGTTCCGAATCTTAATCTTTCAATCAATTGTGGACAACAGCATCCTTGTACTCAAGTCTGAAATCTGTTTTAATAGCTCCAGGTTGGAAGGAAGAAACTCAACATTCAACAACAGCGTAGGGTTCGGCTAAATGTAACCAGCCATGATAGATATATTTATATTAGTTTATAATTTTGTAAACCATGTTAAAAACTACACCGCTATATAAGTACAGCCAGTTTACGGCTGCCTGAGGTCACTTTTTTTCTCCCAACTCTTTAGGTGTAGTATTTTGCGAATTTCGTTGAAGCACGGCAAAGTCGTTTCTTGAAACACTAATGTCCTGTTTCTGCAAAAACGGACGAATTTTGCAAATGAATAAGTTTACCCCGATGATACAACAAGATACAAACACGGAGCGGGATATGACTTCACCAGCAAGCGATATTATTTCCCTATTTATCTCTAAAAAGCAAAACTTAAAACGGAAATGCGGTGGTTCTTATTATTATACTGTCTACAAGGAAGATCACCATAAGTCAGTTGTTCGGTAGATAGCTGGTTATTTCATTTATTTAGGTCCTTTTTAACCTATTTCTGGTCACAGAACACGCCTCTTGGTAATACTTTAATTTAGCTGAAACGATAGAAGTCGACTGCCGCGATATCTAAAAGGCGCGGTACATATATATATATATATGTATATACAGAATCCTATGTTTGTTAGGCAAAGCCAACGAAAAGCCAGCAAACATATAGACTTCTAGAGTTGCAATATACATGTCTGTGTTACTGCTTATTGCAACGAGTTATTGGCTATCGAATATTTGGTATTATTGCTGGTTAGTATAGAAATGTAAAGTCTGTATTGCGTAAAAGAATACAATCGTGGTACAGTTGGTGCGGAGCTGGCAAAGTTTCATCGAAATTGAGTGGAAGCTGTGAAACAATGGGGGCCTTGAGGCATGCAGACTTATGCAGTGGTAATAGTTGCGGTTCAGCACTCGAAAACTTTTGCTCTTGCATCAGCCTTGAAATTTTCTATTTCAGATTCGTTTCGGCATCAGTTTAGCTAGAGTAAGAATATAGTTCAGTATATAACAAATGGTGTTGTTGAGTGTTTCCTTCGTTTTATGTTATACGTTGAATCTACGTAACTAGTGAGCACACTGTTCAACCCGAGCTGCGGAGTCGCCATAGCGTTAGAAAACAGTACAATTTTCGCAATTTGCTACAACAAACGCAAAAGTCTTTCAATAAGTTTTTCACCATTATTAGTAAAAGCCAGCGTGGAAGGCAATGCGTCCAGATATATTTTATTCTAGAGAGTTCTGTTTAACAAACGTATAACATTTTACTATTATAAATGCGCTTATTGTTTGGGCTAACCAGCAACTTAATTACATTCTCCGTATATATTTAGTTCCGAGTAAAGTTGAAACCGTAATTGATGCCATAGGTAACAGCTCCTTTATTCGAACTCACTAAGATGTTATACGTTGGTTACTACAAAAAAACTCCTAAACCGAGTCGGGATGTACGGCTATTAAATGCATCCCTGAGTCGTTAGCTAATGACCAACTTGTTTTAATCTTTGTTTTCCTTACAGTAATTTCCGCTTGCATGTCTGCTAAATGTCGCTAACTGAAAACGTATGCTTCACTTGTATCGACTTATGCATTTTAATGACCTTGAGCTTTCGACATTATACCATTTAGGCGAAATATTATACACTTACCGCTAATTATTAGGTAGTCCCGAACCAAGGCTCAGCAATACGGGTACTCAGGGTTTTGTGCGTGAGAGTCCTACAGTACCTAGCGAATACCATAGGAGTTTAATCTTGTCTTATTTGTATTATGCGTTAACACTCAACCTGTTTGCAAAAAAAATATATATATACATAGGTAATCTATTTATAGTGGGCCTAATAAAAATAGGGGTGGATAGAACCTGTCCGAGCAATAAAAGTGTTTACCTGCCAACGGCTGTTTGTCTGCGTGCATGTTAATCAGTCCCTATAAAAAAAAAAGCTACGTTTGAAGAGAGCGTTTCTTGAAGTAAGAGGCGTACCGCGCTATGCCTGGTCTGGCGAATTCTAAGAAATCCTATTGAGTTCTTTGTATAATGTTCGAAACACACATGCTTTATGAAATAGTTGTTCAACGACAAACAAAACTGTTTTAAAAATAACTCAACACTTAAATAATATAATCATTTTTTTTTGTAAATCGTTTACAGGTATATACATCTGCCTCGAGGGAGGATATCTAATAGCGAAATTTGCATACAAAAATAAAATTATATATGTTGCTGTATTAACAAAAATTCATGCTAATTTCAAAACTAATTGCAATGTATGTTACGTTATTAATAAATACCAAAAATTCTGCTAGTGAATGATGGTGAGTTCATAGCAATTGGCTTCCAAAGCCAACCAATTCGACAAAGAACGCATATTTCTCTATAACAAAGGTTTTTTCTATAACACGGTGTCTATGAAAAAGTAGAGATCGACATATGGCCTTATAAAAAGTGTGCATATATAATGTAATAGCGTTTGCGCAAGTCCAAAAAAAGTGCCGAAACATTTTTTAGGGGTCGCTAACACTGATAATTAACTAACAAAAACGGATCTCTGTTATTTGAGAAAGCTAAAATGAATGTCATCCGTCAAAAATAAATCCCGATGTTAGGTAACAGATGGCGTAGGCTAGTCCTTTAATTGGCCACCTCTGATCGAGGGGCCGTACAGTTTTTAAAATAAGTCTCCTTAAGCTAGCATACACTGCACCGCGAGGAGTCCACTTTCTATTTGACACATTTATGAACATATGAATCAGTTTCTACTGTGAAATAATGGCAATTATGGGCTATGCCACAGCGATAGGTCATGCATAAAGTAGCAGTGCACATTTGAAATATTACGTCTACTACGTTCTAGCTCATATACACCAAAGAGGGTCCCCATTATCGGAAACGCAGGCATCACTAACAAGGATACGTATGTGAGACACTGGTAGAGAATATTTTGTATCTGCTGTATACTAGTACTGCGACTGAGGGCCATAAGCAAACTTAACTGCATGATAATAAAAGACTTCCTTGAGTAACGTATACTTTCAGTAACACACATTTGAACTTCTCATAATTTGAAGTGCGTTGACGTTCTCCTGTTTCATCCTATCCCTATGTGGTTACAATACAGAGAGGAGAAACCTACCTGACAGAAAACGCTATTTCGTGTAAATATTTATTACATAGACGAACACACCACTGTCAACATACCATATGACATACACTTCTAGGTTACATAGCCTTTCTCTTACTTTTACGTTTTTCCCTTCCTATAAAAAGACATGAATGCGTGAAGCCAAATAACACAGCATCCTTCACGATGTTAATCTACAATTTCGCCATAGTGGCAAATATATTCTTACCATCGTGGCTAGTATAGGGTGACTTATATATAGTCAGACAAAAATCCCTCTAGATTATGAAACTGCTGCTGTTGAGCGTACTTTATGGAAGCAGTCCTAAAACGATTTAGAAATTGTTTTTATACACGCGAGGGGTCTCTTGTACTTCGGGCGTTTTGTGGGTTCCGTCACAAAAGGGTCTCCGTTTCGTCTGCTTGCAATTGCATAGCCAGTATTCACGCGTCTCTTCCGGCACTATACGAATCGGTTTCAGCGAGATTTTATAGTGTGGATTTTTGTGCTTTCCGTCGCAGAAAGGCTGGTTATGACTCCAACCGCAAGTACACCTGTGGTCAGAAACGCACATCCAAATGAAGCAAAAGAAAAAATGGTCAAAGATTATTATGAGATCGGGGTGAAAACTTAAGGCTGTTTATATCGCATTTATGTCCACAGAGATGCTCGTGACATGCTATGCTAACTAATTCTATTTAGTCAGTAAAAAAAATAAAGGGTTTTATTTAGCTGCTGAGTATGCATAGAAAGAGGTACGGTACGCATTTTATGCATCAAATAATTTAATAGAGATCGTTAATAAACTTTAATAGCACACAGAAATTCCATGTTAAAATAGCGGTTCGTTGTTAGCATGGCACAGCAAAAGAATATCGATGATATTTCGAAAAAGTAGTTTTCGAGAATTTAAAGTATGAATATGGATATTATTAAACTAAATTCTATAGGTAAGTCTATGGTACATAATACCTTTGCAATGAGTATAATAGATATTGTCGTTTACTTTGTCATATTAGGTGAGAACGAATCGGGCAAATACCACAATATACGTAAGTGAACAAAAAAACTCCTATATACAGCATATTTTGTGTATTGTACAAAGTGTAAGAGTCATATGTGGTATATCTTGTCGTCTACAGCTGCAATATAATACGCACCAGTAATACTGCTTGCCTTTTTGCAAGAGGAATTTTATTGGTTTTCGGTCGTAAACGCGACCATTTAGAGGCTGATGGTACGATGATGAATAATTAGCCTCCAGTCGCTTCTGAAGTTCAGCAGGCATCTCCAAAGTTCCATTCTTGTTAGTAGAGCTCGATGAGCATAAGCGCAACATATTCGTGGATGACTGCAATAAAACTGCCGGCGCTGGACGAAATGTGACGAACATATTTCCCTATTTCGTGTCACGATGCTTGTCGCGACAAAAACCAAATCTATTAAAGTAACTTGTTAATCTAGGAACTGATCAGCTTCAGAAGCACACGAAGGTCTGCGAACACTGAAGAACGCTAAAATAATTGCCACTTTACATCGGTTTGTTATCAAACAGCATCGGAACTTCGACTCGACCTCTGTGGGCTTGCAGTTTTTCGAACACCATGCGCGGAATTGTCTTCCGTGAAGACTAGATGCCAAAATAACGACCAAATCATGCTTTTCCAGTTACCAAAAGTACCACATCATTTAAGCCTGTCCTACTAACTGCGAATAAGGAGTTCCTAACAAATTACAATCGCTATTTTTCATTGATAAATTCAATATAATAAATAGTACATCTGATGGTATAATTATGAGCTTTTATCGAACATATTTCTTTTATCTCTCTAGTTAATATCCGTTATAATACATTCTCTCTATTGTGGCTTAACTTCTTCATCTAGTCCCGATAATAACACCGTGGCGCGCTTTACCATACAGCCAACTTTCGTTGTACACAATAATATTAGCGCCTCGGAGCTACCCGGCACAACGAAGCTATACATATATTAAATAGTTTCTGATGGATAGGGACCGGTGCCAGCAAAACAAACTAGCGATCGCTTCTTGTGTTCTTCGCTAAAAATGTATCGATATTTGATGTAGGTTAGATTGCTGAAAGTAACGACTTCGTACGTATGTGTGGGGTGCCTGTTGACGCGTGTACTGTTCTGTACGTGTCTGTACGCGTATTACAAGTACCGCTTTTCGTGTTTACGAGAGGAATTGACGCATGTTACGCTGTTGATTTTCTGCGAACCGCGCTTGAAAAATCGGTAGTCCAGCCACTTTCTGAGTTGTTCTCGTGTGGCTGTTGTTGATCATGAGTGCCTGTGAAATAAGTATGAACCATCCAGTGTTTGACCGTGTACACCGCTTGGCGGTTGAGCTGCAGTCCAATCATAATGAAGAAAAGTTCGAGCTTTGCGAATCGATAGCCGCCATACTTAACAATATTTCACAAGAAGTAAGATGATTACTATAATTATGATATTAGTAGGTGGACGTGTTTTCTAATTATTGTTGAAGCTCTCATTACTCTTGCTGAGGTTAAGTGAATCTAGACCTGAAAGTATTTTTTATTTGCCATTAGTTCAAACTCGTCGCTTCTTATTAGCGTTAGAGGTCTGTTCGAAAATTTGGTGTTTGCGGTTCGGTATAATTTGGAGAAGCATTTCTATGTATGCGAATGGTCGGCTAGGTTATTATTTTTAGATTGGTTAAAAAAGATTTTTCTCTATCAGTGTATCGCAGGTTTGATCATCAGCTGATTCACTGAAATGTGTCAAACAGCAGACAGCTACTGACCAAATGCTTTGAATGTGGGTGCCACTCTGCAGAAGTGGTATAGTTCCGTTAATTTCAAGAAATACTTTTTAGATTACACATTTATAATCACTACTATATACAAATATCACTACATCAAGAACGCTACAACAAAACCACAATATAGAAATAGCATAAAGGTGTTGTCATGGGGGCATCTTACGACAAATACAACGGGTATATAAACATTATCATCGGAGAAGACTGACTGCTTGGATGTGTCGTAATCGCATGTTATTTTTAGGAAGAAGGCTTGCTGAGTGTTCCGGTTAGAGACGAAGATGCCATTTTATTTCGGAAAACCCTGCGTGACATATTTCAGTCCAAGCTTTCGTGTGAGATCCGACGAAAAGCACTCAATCTTGCTGCGGCCCTTTTTCAGTGTTACGGCGCGTCATGGCTGGTACGTGCCCATTTTAAAAAAAAAGAAATATGTATATAAAATCTGGTAGCAGCACTTTTCTAGGCTACTATATATATATAGATATATATAACGCGGAGAACGCGTACGGTTTTTCCTCAGCGACTTTTGTTCGACGTTCCTATGTCGAATTGGGGCTGCAGGCATGCATAGACAGGCATACTTTTATCGAAACCCAAATCTATCGATTTAGTCGACGACAGAAACGCGGTGATGGAGCCTTTATACGTTACTCTACTGCTGCAACATTTAAGTAAGTTTTCACATAGTATAGAATAGGCAAATGTAAACAAAATTATAATTATTTTTTTATTATTAAGGAATAAGTAAATTTAACGAGGTGTAATGCAGTTCAGAATTTACCATTGCTGACGCTTTTAAAGGCATCCAGATCAGAAAGTCGAGGGGGACCTTAGCTCTATTGAGACATCAAGCGTTATATGCGAAACTCGCTTTTTTGTAAAAAGCAAGTTCTATAGACGAATTGCCGACAGCATGAATTTAATGCAGTAAGAGCACATTATGCAAAATATTCGTGTTCTCATTGGTAGTATTCTACTTTATTTCGCAGAACGACACCTCACCTGATACCCATATCCTTATCACGTTAATGACAAATCTGGCCGCCATTGAGATCCGAGTAGCGCTGGCGAAAAAGAAAAATTTTCGAGATGTTGAAGCTCAGGTTCCTACACCGAGTCTTTGCGCATGGCTTAAAATCGTCCACGGATCGATAAACAGGTAATGAATAATATCTGTAGCATTTATCTATATGAAAAAAACTCTTCACTCAAGGCAGCGGCAATGGATACAAATTGATATTTGGATACAGCCTTGCGGCTGTTTCCATCGTACTGTAAGTCCTAAAATTAAGGATACTGGTGCTGAACGTTTTCTTGTCTTAAGATTTTGTTAAACTGAGATTGCAGATCGTTCACCTCGCTGTGTTCCCTTTAAATTGGTAATATCCGTTTGTGTACCGTACCGTGGTAATCGTGGTTCTATCAGCCAGTGAATGGAAAGAAAAACAAACGAATACAATATGCTAAGAAAATCATTAGGTATTAACTATGATTGGAACATCCAATCAATATGCGCTCCATATGATCGTTCTCCCTGTATACGTACCTCTATCAAAATGCCCAGTTGTGCCTTTAATGCAACTCGTAGGCCTTTATTGCAGATTAGCGAATGATGACCCAGACACGCGCTGGGAGCCCGAAAAAATCCTGTCACTGCAAAGGTGCTACATGCAGACGTGTGGTGAGGTTACACACTTCGTTAACAGAGTCTTAGTGGACGATGACATTGAGGTAGGAGCAGTGACGAGGCTTTCTAGAACACATAATAAAACAAAAATCAGCGATTGTAGCAATATTTTGTTTGTCGTGAAGTTCGCTGCAGGTTCTACGCTTTGGTTTGACTATTGTCAAATATTTTGTATCTTTTCTCGTATTAGCATTCGTTCGTTTTATCTCCTCTTACTTTTTTTCTGCTAAACCACAAAATGCATAAGGTGGATTTCTCTTCGCTCACCGCTGATCTTCATTGCTTCTGAATATCAATGTATTTTTTATTTTAATTGTCATCTGGCGTACTCCTGCAATGTTATTCTGCCTGGCATTTCACGGCAGGCGAATACGGATTTACGGGAATTCGTTCACGCTGCTGTTAACACGATCACTTGTTGGGCGCTTAACGATTTCGAGACTTTGGAAGATGTTGTTACGCCGTTCTTGGTAAAAGTGGCACCGATCTGCCCTCGCCTACGGTGGGCTCAGCCTTGCCTCAATATTTTAGCTCGTCTTGATCACGAAGCTACTATTAACAGCTCCGAAGGATCAAAACTGATATCACAGGTTTGCTGACACTACTTGCCTATCTTATGACTAATATTATTATTAGTTAATAGGGACCGAGTCACAATCGCCGCACGTTATTGTGTGGTTAAAAATTATACCGTACAAGACGCGCACATTAGCTGTTTGGAGGGCATCACGTTGAATTTAATATATATATATATATTTTTATTTACCATACATACGTCTACTTTAATGCTAATAGACTCGCTTGTCTTATCTACTTTTCAGTTATGGGATGGAAATGAAGAATTGATGCAATTTTCATTGCAAACGTTTTGTGCTGAGCTGCCAAAAATGAAGGTCAGTTTTAATATAAATAAACTGTAAAAATAGATTACCTATCGAAATAATTATACAGAACTACTTCTGCATCTGCTCTGCCTATATCGAATTCGTCTTTACCGGTTATCGAACATTCAGGATGGAAAGTATAATCCAATAGGGTAGCTTTTGTTGTCTGGTCCAGCATGAACAGGTATCAGACTTCTGCCAAGTATTTCTAACGCCTATAAAGTTACAATGTGGTAAACAGGATTCTCTTTAAGAGTCAAACTTTTTCGTGAAAGGTGCCTCTAAACCAAAAAAAGATATAGAAGAGACGACGACAACCATTATTAAGCAGCAGATGTGCGGTTTGCAGCCGCCTTTTTCCGAAGTCGATCCAACTTGATTTATTCGAATATCTTTAGGTAGTTTTCGCTCATTAGAGTATGCTCCGCGAATAGTTTATTTTGGATCGTGTGTTTGCAAATTTATTTTCACCACTTTCCAGGCTTCGCAGGACCATCGTCTCATCAATACTGCGCACTTCCTTTTTTCTGAATTCGACTCACTAATCGTACCAAATACAAGGAACGTTCAGGAAGCTATTTCAAAAACGCTTGCGGAATGGATGATTAAAAAAGCGCAATTTAAGATATACGATGCTCAAGCTTTAATGCACCTTGCTTGTCTTAATATTAAACTCTCTCAGGTATGAATATCATAAAATTAGACATATATCTGGTAATCCCATCCATTACCAAGTAAATGTTTCATGTTTTACATCTGGCACCTCCGCTGGGCATTGCTTCAGACGATTGGCTCCTGCCAACATATTTTTTTTTGCCAATCAATTCAGGCTACCAAGTCTCTCGCTGACAAACAAATTACCCAGTGCGCTATTGCGGGGATAGCCCCAATCGCTACTATTATTACTATTAAAGTATCTAGAAACCTTTTTATTAGGTCAACTAAATTTTGAAACAACCTCAGTTTTTAGTTTCATTAAAGTCCCTAAACTATTTTGCTAGACAAATGATTTATACTTCACAACAATTTACTTTAACCAACACTTTCATACATTTGCATGTTATGTTGTGTTACTGTTTCTCTTATCTCTCTCTCTCACTTTCTCTCTCTCTCTCTCTCTCTCTCTCTCTCTCCACATTCACCTACGTATATAGGTGAATGTGGAGGATTCTACACCATTCCGCATGGCGCTTGCGTGTTCGATACAGGTACTATGGGTGTTCTGTGGCTTCCATAAGAACAATAGGAGCAACAGGTTTAAGATGCCTTCAATCTACAAACAGCAGAGCGATGAAGTCCAATCCCTATTAATGGAATCATGGTGCGAAGCGACTCAAGTGCTAGCACAGATGGTGCGCAAAAACCGGTTTATTGCTCAATTCCTTTACGAGCATCGCATAGTACACCGTGCAATTACCGTTCCGTTGGTGAGTAGTTATGCTCAGTCGCTTCTAGAATTACGTATGACGGTGAAGGCCTCAATTATGTGTTATTGTCAACTTAATAAAGGTTTTAAATATGGGGTGGGCAAATTTGAAGCTTATGTGTCGAAGACAAAGTCGAGACATTAAGGAATTTCGAAGTTCAGTTGGTGCAGGCTGAAGAAATCGAATAGAATCCAAAGCCAAAGCGATACGTATCTTGTTTTGTTAATCACAAGCTTACTGAGTACTAGCGGAGTTGTTTACTCTTATATTCAGTTCCTCTTATATTCGTTTAGCTCCTTAAACTTTTAAAGACATTTGAGTAAGACAATCAGTTTCTCCTTTTTATTATTATAGCTTGGTACGATTGAAATGCCTGAACCCATGGAATCGGTGCTGCAAGAATTTCATCAAGCTGTGGTGACCGCGTACCCCGAAGGAAAAGAAACCCTAGACCAATTACAGGAGAACCTTCTAACAGGCGAAAGTTATAATGAAGTATAGAGGTAAACGAAACATATAGCTCTTTTAATTTGCTACTGAAGTCTGTCCCTCAACAATAAGCAGGTATGGCAACGCAATTTAAGGCCATCATGCTTATTAAAGCTGCGCCGACGTCTATGCGCTGCTTCGTTCCAGATCGTATTTTATATGTAACTAAGACAAATACAGTGAATACATAAGTGGCATGTACCTATCAAAGGCATGTCGCTTGATCCTCGCCGGTGTGAATCTGCGATTATATGCGATTGTCATGGCCCTACGTTATCGGTGTGTGCCGTAGCGCTTTTGAGTTTATGGGCTGATTTTCATATGACGATGAAGTAGAACAGCTATCTAGAGATAGCCTTAAAAAACGCATGTAAGATTGAAACACATGAGTAAGGAGACTGGAAGGTGCTACATGTTCTTTATGATAAATGGATCTGTATGTATGTTGTGAGATGTAGCAGCGTCTCTGTGAATAGATAATAAATGACCATCTTTTAATTGGCCATTCAGTACGCTAACGCAACTTTAAGAATACACAATAAGAAGTGGAAGACAATATACAAATATAATTGAAAATGTATGCATTGTTATCAGACCTTAATAGAGCAAGCAGGTTAAAAATGCAAGGTGTTCATTGAGTATACTGAGCTTTTAAACCGTCGTTTTTCGTTAGTCTGGTTTTCCACTCGTGAATAAAGACGACTTTCATATTGAGACATTACACAAGATTCAAGTGCAGTATTGTCTGACATCTTTCACTAACGTGCAATGCATTGCATTGGATTGATATTACTCAATGAATTCCTGATGTAGGTTGTCATGCTTTTAGCGTTGCTGAACATTGCGTGAACGCGTTATGTATGTATGTGTATCTATATGCCTGTACAATGATGGAAGCGTCGCACATTGTCCTTTCGAAGGCCGTCAATGATATAGATACAATCATTCGTTAGAAGTTAGCCATATAGATCTATATAGACATGAAAAGGAATAGCTAAAGCAAAGTGCTACTATCAAATGCGACAGGAGGTGACGGTTTCATCTGCAGTGGAATCAAATATTAATTAGTCGCGGTGCTTGTAGCCGTTTTGCTTAATAATTTCCGCCTGAAATCTCTACATGCTGTCGCGATGTCAATCTGCAGCAATATTGAAAGAAAAGCTTTTTTTTTCAGTTACTTAGGCAGGTTTGTCGAATTTGCTGAACTTACCAGTACTCTATCTCCACCAGCCGGCATCCCCGCGTAACCAGATGCGATAGTAAAATGAGAACTAAAATACTTGTTTGGTAGCCAATCGCAAGGAAGAGGTTATTGGTAAATAAACATGTTTGGTAGTTCCGTGACCGAAATTATATTGCTGTCTATTTTAAGTTACCGCAGAATAAGATGGTAGTAACCGACACCACAGGATTGTTCATGGAATGGCGAATAAAGAACACACAAATAGTTGAACAAAGACATGTAAATATGTGTGAATGTACTGGAATAAATTATTGCTTTTATTTAGTTCATATGTAGGTATTAAAAATATAGGTGCCTTTACAGGTCCGCTGTGCTAGCTAGAGCTGAGGAAATAACGTGGCCTTCTCATTGTTCGCACCGTTTCTGTTATATATTATGCATAATGCGGCACATAAAGGTAAGGCCACTTTTATTATAGCTTCAATTTCTTTTCGACTTTTCAGCGTCTTTGCACGATGAATTTGGAATTGTGTCGTCGTACAGCTCCAACTTTTAGTACCATATTTTTTTTAACAACTTTTAGTTACCGACAGACGAGCAAGTTTTTGACTCGTCTTTCGCTCGTACTTATTTACGAGTGTAACCACCTCCCACTTAAGAAGAATTTAAAACGTTAGGAAGTCCATCCGGTAGAAGCTTAATCAGAGCTTATTTAGAACAGATCATTGCGTATATGTGCGGTTTGCAGCCTGCGTAGGAAATATGCGATCACGAATCCTATATTACTAATGTTAAGTATCGTCGACTAACATTACCAAAATGAACTAGCTTGCATTGATTTGGTGTTGCGTAAAAAAAAAGTTGGGACTTCAAGCACCGCTAATTTAAAGGTGCAACGTCGATAATTAGCTGGAAGGTATGTAACGATCACCGCGTATTAAGTATTTTTATTTTTTTAGAAAGCTGTCGTTGCCGTTGCGGTGGGGAATGATGAAGAGAACGACGTTGGCGATTGCAATGATGATGATCATCATGGTTATATATAGTTTTGCCGGTTGTTCACGCAACGTTTTTCTGTGATTTATAGACCCGATGGCGATCAATTTCGATCGAACAACGTACATTAATTAATAGAACTTTGGTGCCTGAACTAAAACATAATCTCCTCATTTGCTCAACGTCTGCTTTTTGTACAGCAGTAAAACATTGTTTGCTACCTACATATAACTGTGTTGATATTTGGCCTTCAGGGTATATTGCTAGCTAACGTGCGGGTTTTGCGCAACAAATAAAAATATTGTACTCAACTTGTATACTACCCGCCAAACAAACTTCGTTAGCTATAATTGGAACTGCGCCAATAAAAAACACATTGCCCAGTTCCCAAAACGCATTTCCCCTCTTTATTTTTTCGCCTTGATTCTAGTTCGAAAGCGTGATAGTTTCAGGCGCGCCGACCTGCTAACGAACCTTCTATAGTAGCTTCTGTGGTTTCAAATTCCGCGCCAACTGTACTCAAGTTTTTGGTTAGAAATGGCGGTTAGATTTTTGATCGAATTCACTGGTCATGTGTGCAGACTCAATTAAGCTTTATATGTGTATGGCTATATAGCAAAGTAATGGATTCGGAAGCTTCACTTAAACTTAGGCTTGAGGAGTCTGCTGACTTCGTGGATTCTTCAAGTAGCATATCTGATTTAGAAGAAACAGTTGAAGATGACGATCCGAAAAAAGGTATATTCAAAACTGTTGTCCTATCTTTTTACAATTTGCCTGTGCTATCAATAGTGATATAGTTGATAGTTGAAAGTATAATATTAGACAACTTGCGCTGTAATTGGCTGCTGATATATTGCATATATTAAGTATTTTTTTTAATACAACAAAATATATGAACATTTCACATTTGTCTATGATTGTATGATGTTATAGAGTAAGATTATCTAAGGTGTTTTGTGATTTTGGTTGATGTTAGGATATTAGGTAGCTTTGTAGTATGATTGTTACAAACGTACTGAAATGTGGAGTAGACCCAACTTTTGTTATTTACCCGGCATCTATTTTTCTTCCTCCTGAATACAACTGAAGTTCTCATACTGAAGAAAACTTGAAACTTGGCTACAGCTTATTTTAAATCGTGATATCATGTTATAATAAGAAAATTAAGATTAATTCTGGATTCTACGCAGAGACTGCACATGATCAGCTGAAAATAAAATGTGCGGAAAATTTAACGTGAACTAAAAGTTAAATATAATGAATAGATCGAAGCGATGGATGGTCCTTTAAATGAGTTTTCAAAAACTGTTTTCAACAAATTCTTAATTCGACGCTTGCATAAAAAGATTACCTTGGCCTTAAAACCTTACCGCCGGCTTGTGAAATTTCAGTGCAAGACAAGACCTGTTGAAGAATGATCTTAATATAAGAAAGATTATGTTGACGTGTTGTTCGTTTCCTTACTGGGGTACAGATTCCAAGCCAGGCTATCTTCCTACATACCCCCCAACATGCGACCCGCACAGCATCCCACCAGGTTGTCGTTTCCACACAATTGACGATTTTGAGATCGGGCGTCCACTTGGCAAGGGAAAATTTGGCAATGTCTACCTTGCCCGCAGAAAAACTGACCACTTCATAGTTGCACTGAAAGTAAGTAGCATTCAGAAATGTTTTAAGTAAATGCGCGCCGATTTCCATACCCTATCATTTGTTATATTTTATCACGTACGACTGCATTAAATTTAACACTGTGTGCTAAGTCTTTTGTTAAACCCTTTAGTGTTTACCTAACATTAGGGTATTTTGAATAGCGATATTATAATAACAAAAGATGGGTTTTCGTTATATTATGTTTGTCATAAAGAAAGCAATTTTGGAGCAAACAAAAAGATATAAGCGTTTTATTTTGTAAATAATTTTGGAATTTAGTTTATTTTTGGAGTTTAATTTTGGCGTATGCACTCTCATTTCTATAACTTCTTCTAGCTTCTAATAACTTCTAACATTGTTCTGATTACTTAACTGGTGGTGATATTCCTCTAATATTATGCTTTATAAATGTTGGATTATCTTCTTACACAGGTATTGCACAAGAACCAACTCATACGTAATCGATGCGAGTACAATCTCAAGCGCGAGATTGAAATCCAGATGCATCTTCGTCATCCAAACATTCTCTGCTTGTACAGATGGTTCTGGGATGATCGAAAAATCTACCTTGTGCTTGAGTTTGCGCCTGGTGGAGAGCTCTTTAAAGTAAAAACAGGTTTCAGATCCATATTAGATTCAACACTCTAAAAGTAGCTGCGACACAGCCCTTTATTGATTATTTCCAATGATTTCTAAAAAACAGCTAACGACTATTTAGAGTATACCTTTTAAAAGAAGGCTTACTGTTTTTGTATACCATTACCGTCACAACTACTTGTTGTTTGCCCTAAACACATATATCTAAATAAATATAATGTGTCTGGTGCAAACTTTTACAGTACATCCAAAATAAACCTAAGCGACGTTTGGATGATACAGAGGCGGCCACGCTCATGTACCAGATGATCCGAGCGCTATCCTACTGTCATGCAAAAGGTGTTATCCATCGGTAAGTTTTTGTTAAGTTGCTTTAACACATCCATACATACTTCTACACAAATCTAGTCTGCAACATGTTTAATATTCGGTTATAAAATCAAGAAATAATTTGAGTTGCCTTGCACTCGTTTACAATTTATTGTGGCTTCCTCCGTCTCTGGGCGCAGGAGCTCTCATTCTACGTCAAAGTAATTTGTGGAAAAATATTTCGTTTTAATTACACCCGGATTATTAATTTATTCTGTGTTACTGTATCTACCATTGATATGCATCAGGGGCATCTAGTGGAGCGCATAATGCTATTTAACAGGACATGCATACATGACTTTACCTCTAAGCGGGACAAAGCTCCAGCGGATCAATGCTAGATTTATTTAACTAAAAGTTTTGGTAAACAATTTTGGTGGGAACATCAGAACAATCGTACAAACAACAATCGTAAAAACTTGTTAGCGCTATAGTAAAGAGCACCGAAAGAGTACTAAGGATAATCTTAGCCTTGTTCTCCGCTCTCACCTGGTTTACATCCAAGGCGATAAAGCTGACTGGAATTTTTTCTAACTCTATTGTGTTCTTCAACAACAGGGATATCAAGCCAGAAAACTTACTACTTGGCGTCAACAACGAGCTGAAAATAGCTGACTTCGGCTGGAGTGTACATGCGCCGTCGCGTCGCCGAAAGACGATGTGTGGAACGCTAGATTATCTGCCCCCAGAAATGGTTCAGCGAAAGGAGTATGACCAGAGGGTAGGTTTTTGAATCAATAAGTGTTTAAGTGCGAAATCAGATCCAGGTTACAAAAAAATCAGCACTTTCAGTGCAAATCATATTCGCGGGTATTTCACGTAAGTTAGTCAACGATGTACTCCGAATAAGGAGCAGTGGTTCTCACGAGTTGATTATCGCTGTTATTATTTGGCGAACGAATCAGATCAGTGGCTTCATTTTCCGAACAAATTCCTAATATTACAGGTGGATTACTGGTGTATTGGAATCTTGATGTACGAATTTTTGACTGGTAGCGCGCCGTTCGAATCTGAGAAGTCTGAGGACACATACCGAAAAATTTGTCAAGATGAAGTACGCTTTCCAAGCCATGTGTCGGAGTTGGCGAGAGATTTGATTATTAAACTGCTAGCTAAAGAGGCCAAAAATCGTATTTCGCTTGAGGAGGCGATCAAACATCCTTGGATCGAGAAATTTGCTGATAAAAATGTCTCTTGCCAGACATTCTGAGATTTGATTATTTTCCGTTTAAGCGATATATTGTCTTTTCATGCACAGAATTCGATCGCAAAGTTTTGCGAAAACTTCACCGATAAGCACAAGCAATTTCGAAATTGAGGGATTCCTCGTGGACGAGTGAAACTCTGTAGTTTGTGTATGAATACATCATAAAAACACATCATAGGAACAAAAGCATGAAAAAGAAATGCTTATTTCGATTGTGAAAGATAAGCCGCTATATATATTGTACACAGAAGGAAGTTTACAAGCTTCGAAGGCTATTGCACTTCATGTAAAACGTGTATTCTGCGCGTAATGTATGATGCAGCAAGCATAGAAAGAAAGAAGTAATAAAACTAGAGCCTTGTTATTCGCTTACTACTAGGACAAGTTTTGCTGTAATTATGAGAAGATATTAAAGAATAAAATATTTTAGCCAAGAAACATTTTAAATGCTTTTATCATATATCCTTATTTGATTCATTATTTCGCCAACAACGTCATGGAATACCATAACCTGCATTTAGATCAAAATTTCAAGTAAGACGGTAACCAACCAATCATCTTCACCACTACCTAGGAATCTACATGACAACAGTTACTAAACTCAAATAAATTATATCATCCTCTTTATTTCTCTTTGCAGTCCATTGCTATTTCTTTTCCTCTCCCTCTCTCTCTATTGCTTCTTTTCGTCTTTTGTGTACATATTACATTTTTCTTCTTTCTTCGTCAGAACAATAGCGTCACGATTACCATTTTCGTTATCGTTATCAATGGCTTTCAAGGTTCCTTTTGTAACTGTGTATTGTAGAGGGAACCTTGTCGGTTTCGCCGTCCCTTACAGTCTGCTCCCATTGCACCCCATAATGCAATGTGCATTCACCGCTGACTTGCATTCTGTAGTCTATTCCTTTAATCACACCTAGCTCACGGTTAAAACTCACACCCCCCGCCTTCGATAACGGGGCCGCCACTTCGATTAATTTTCATCAGGATGAACTTTTGTTGTCCTATTCTTTCCCTTCCCATATTCTAGACTCTTCAATCCTATAAACGTGTGTTTGTTTTTCATCAGTGTTTTTGAATCGGCTTCTTGATGAACGCGGAGTTTTTCCTGAAAAAGCCCGCCCACCAAGATTCCAACCGCGCTGGTAATAAGCATTAATGTTCCTAATATATTTTTATAGATTTATATATCTCTTTTTATATCCTGTAGACGCCTGAACATCATGCAATTTGTTTATTAGTAATTAAACATGTCACGTAATTACTGTATCAACATCACGGTCGGTCCATTCGCATCTCATCGGTCAACATGAAATGTTTTACATGAAAACGTTATAAGGTCCGCTACGCTAACGGCTTCAGCTTATCGGCTGAAAATTGTCGGAGGGAGAATTCAGCAAGAATGGGGTGCGATATCGTACTTCTGCATGGACATAAGCCAGCAAAGAAAAACATCTGAAATTGCTTTCGTGTGCGCTCTCGGCTTAGGTCCCCAATTTGTTCGTACTTATTGACATTGCCTCGTTGACGTAGAATGTGTTTTAGCCAACATCTGTCGCTGAGAGTGTATATATATATATATGTAGTAGTCGTTCTATAGGCTGGGGCGAACATTTAGTTGTGCTTGGAGTCACATTTGTTGAGAACAGGCAGTTATAGTAAGCATAGCAGTCACACGAATCTAAGTGGCAACATGGCGTGCTCCCGGGCAACATTTTAAAGTGATTGCGCGCTTTAACTGTTCAAATGCCTTGTATGTCCTGTAAGTCGGCTAAGCGATAACGAGAGTGTTAAGTGTTATTTATAGCTTATTAGCTTGTTTTACTATTAAATCTAAGCTTTTCCAAAATAGTGGACCTAGAAATCACATCTCACTTGAAAACTACTTCCGTACTTTTCATTCTGCTCATCCACTCATCATCTTGCTGGCAGAATCGGACGAATCGCTTAGCTCATCGCACCTTCCCCGCCCTAACATACAAAATCTCCTGCAATGGATTTTGTTACTAGTAGGAAGTTTACAAGCGGAGTAATTTATTTCAACGAAGCTTCATCTTCAGTACTCAAGGCCCACAAGTCGACAGTTCCACAACTCTGCGATATCGGTTGCAGATGACATCCGCGTAATTATATTGTACGTTTGCAGTTTCAATACACCCGTTTCTCTCTCTTTCTCACTACTTCAGCACTTCTGTAGCTTCGTTGCTATGTTTCTAGAGTCGTTCAATAATCCTTAAGTATAATTATAGAGTCTCGTACGAACTCCCTCATTATAATTCATATCAATGTCAATAATATGGACAGTATTAGGTTAGTGGGCATATAACATGGTAGTGTCAACTTTTTCTTCTTACAACAGCACGCGACAGGTGCTACACTTTGTTTCTACAACTGGCCGTCGTGTGGAGGATCGCTTCGAGGTTCGCCTATTGTGGCGCCTTTTTTGTTCTTTACCTAAAACTATACAGCCGGACGTGCCAATTCATATCATCAGGCTCATCTTGGAGATTCGGAATACGGCTGAAGCCCCTTGGCCCATTCACACTATGTTAATATGTCTAGGCCCCCTCTTTTGAATGGGTTATGTCCATGAATAACCTAATTTTCTTCATTATGCGAACGAAGAAGTAACCATGATTAACCTCTGTGGTTTAGTCCCCTAGACTTTGTTACTGGTGACGCAAAGAATGCACAAACTAGCGAGGTACTGCTTAGCTCTCTTTATCTTCCTCATCATAACAATATCTTATCGCGTTCACATTTATCGTTTCCACTTTATAATCACATGTCACCACCTGATTTTAAAGTGGTATTATGTCTTCTTGGCATCAATTGTTCAACTGCGATTGATACACAAACTGTAGACCTCAAATTTAGAAATGATTTTGGACCCACCTACGGTAAAAGCACAACTATCTGGAAATTAATGAATCAATCATAGAACAGTCATAGGTGTTACGCATTTTTTCAGTTGGACTGTATGCAATTTTTTTTTCAACCTCTTGCCCGGCTAGTAAGGGTTGGTTTTATGTCTAAATTGTTGGGCCTGTATGTGTAGTTCCGTGGTTATAACTACACTTCTGTTTGATGCAAACGTTGCTATACGCTTAGAGGTCATCGAGGACTGGCAGGTTTTTAATTCGATGCAAAAAGACAGAGGGCTATTTGTAGTCGTTTTCCCCAGTAGTCGAACATAGATTTGATTTTAATATAACTCTCTCATATGTCCTCGGTTCTCCTTAATTTAGATGGGTTCGGCATAGTTTGCTGGATAAAGTCCTATGCGGCCGTTCTTCCGGCCTTTACACCAGCCCTGCTCGTCTTCGTCTTCGAGTTTCTCGAACAGGTCGCCTCGAGTTAGCGACAACTCGTCATCTTCTGTTTTTTTATAATCGTACAGCGCTCGTACGGGAACACCAGGTCGGCCGTCATCCACTTCTGGTAGAACTATAAATAGGAAAAGAATACACAACACGGTAGGTTAATGGAGCACATTCTATTATGATGAGAGAGGAAAGGAGAAAATCTTTGCTAGAACCGTTTACCAGATAAGTTACGTTCCTATCAAACAAAAAAGGGGTTCCTATATAGGTGATAATCACTATTACTCTCAGAACGAGTGAAATGGGCATGCGAAACGTCGGATCATATCTGTCCCATAACAAGATGTCAGGCTCTATTTTGCTGATCGATCCTAAATTTGGCCATAAATGTAACCATACGTTTGAGATGTTTATTGGAAATGTTCTCTCGCCGTAACATGTACAAACTTACTATGAAGAACTACCTCCAACTTCTATCACTTTTATAACGTTCCCTAATTATTTTTCAAATGATACTAAGTTCAAAAAAAGTACCACACTCAGTTCACATTAGTGAAACGATGGCAATTTGAAGTTCTGATTAATTGTTTACCTTCCGAATCTTCTTCTTCCCACTCATCTGCTTCGCCGAATGGGTTACCGCCGTTTGCGGGAGAAGCCTGATTCGATGATCGGGACTCTTTCGTAGGACTGGAGGTGCCGTTGGACCCCCCGTTGACATTTTCATGTTCCGACAAAGGTTTTCCAGGTGTCGGAGCTTGGCGGTTGGCCGAGTTCATCTTTGCCTCAACAGCTTGGCTATTACCAGTGTTCTTCTTTATTGAGGGAGCCGATGCGGCTGGAACCTTCTTTTTATTCGTTGCGGTAGGATTCTCGATGTAGTCCTGAAGGAATACGGTGCGGATTGGCAAAATGGACAATGTTAAACACAAGACGGCTTTGGAAAATAAACGGTTAGTGAATTCGGCAAACAAAATTATCTAACGTAGTCTGATTGAATAGGGTAATCTAGTCGTTAAACTATGGCCATTATTAATGGGATATAGAAGATACGCTCCTATATTTGTTAATAATGGTTAATAATGTTAATGTGACAAACCAGATAATCTAAGCACTCTCATATTTCGTTGTTATTTCATAGTGCAACGGATAAATGTTAACAGGCCGCCTATTGAAGATAAGAGATTCCTTAAAGAGGGTAGAAGGCTGAAATGTATACATGACATGCAAAAGCTCTCAGCTTTGGGGTCTATTTGTGCCAAGGATGTTAATAAACGACAATGTGTTGTTAGGTTTTGTTCGATAAGCATTGAATCTTAATGTGACTGTGATCCAGACTTCAAACCGCATAACTATTATCTATGCAACTGTTGCTCCTTCAAGTACAATATACATTTGTCCTAAAGTCGAACAATTTCCCAAATTATTCAGCGCCATACACATCTGTTTAACTAGTCAAATGCGGTAGATGAATTAGTGGGTCAAGTACTTAAGAACAGAGTTCACGGTGTAGCGTTGTGTTACAGATGCCTCTTCCTTTACCCATGAAGTTCCCCGTAGCCATAATATTGCCCAATATCAACTTGTGCTTTTCACATCGGAACTGCAGGGTCGAAACCGACGTACAAAGCTGAAACCACAAACCAAACGAGGCAACATCGGCAATTTGTAACTGCTACCAGCGCCGCCTATATCGTGCTTTGTTCAAAAGTGTCCAACGATCCGTCTTTGTTTAGGTGCAACCTCCACCAGTGCGTTGGGTGTTTGTATATGTGTGAGTCAGGAGCTACCGCTGTGTTTGTTATGCCCGAATCAATCAAGCAACGATGAGGCACCTCAGCTTTAGAGGCCTAGATTAGAATGAATCAACTTGGCTTTCCACTAAATATTTGGTCCTATCTGGCTGCTGATGTTACGAGAGTATTCGTACAGGGACATCGTCGTTAATTCGCTGCTGATTGACGAGCATAATTCCACCATCTACCGAGGAGAATCCTTTTTTTGCTCCTTTGTCACGTATAATGTCTCGAAATTCCTCGACATAGTCCTGCTCAATTAATGGGTGAACGGTTGTTGATCAGTTGCGTTCAAATAATGATAACAACACCGTGGTGAATGTCAGAGTATTTTTTTTTACAAAATTAATAATAGCGGTCGCCGTATCGTAAATATCCAGTCGACAGGATGTTTTTTGCGGAAATCCCATCGGATATCGATGGATTATGGCGGTATAACCCATCGTCCCCACAGTAGTTTATTTTTCGCCGATTGAACAGACAACAGCATTATTGTACAGCAGCATCGACATTGGTGGTATATATAAGTTTTTTCGTTGTTGTTGTTTTTCCATCGATTCATCGTAATGATCGTATCGTTCATCATTAATCAATTAGTTTTCGATTGGCATCGAGGTTCGACCCCATTGTACCGCGCAGATTGCCGCATAGGTTTCCACCGTATCGACACCGTTGAAGACGTATTGGAGTAGAGCGGAGATTGGCGCGACCGCCGCCGCCGCACACGTGGGGCACAAGGAGAACGGGGGAGGTAGTTGCGTCAGGTCGGCGACAACGAATCAAGGACACACAGAGACGGCGAAGCGATCGGACGTTGGTTGTTGTTGTTGATGGTTTGAATGGCATATACATCATCGCAGTTTGGAATCGTGACGGGTGAAACAGCGCGCGCAGCCCGGGTACGATGCAGGCCGAGTAATTAATGAAAATCACATAAAAACAATAACACAAGCAGAGAAAAATCGAAAAAAATAATTTCAAAAAACAACGCAAAAGACGACAAAGAAAGTAACAATAACATCAAAAAAAATTAAAGATTGTCAGAACAGAGACGGATTAAGAACTGCGAATGTACAATGTCAACGTGATAGGGTAGTATTGCGACAAAACGACGAAAACTCTAAAAGCGTGTATTACAGCAGATCGATATAAAGGCCGTGGCAATGAAGTATGCCAATAATGGGAGAATCGCAAGCTAGATCGGGAGCTATGAACAGATGTGGAAAATTATTTCTTATGGACCATTCATAGAGGCAACAACTCTAGTTAACGAACCAATAGTAAATTGAAACATGAGTGGATAGAAACCAATGAAAATATACAACTTTACGTTACTGGTGAAAATTAAAACTGTCTAACTATGTTTGGTAGTAGCTAAATGGCCGAGGTGAATGAGAATCAATTAAAACTTATTAGATACCTGGTGATTCAGGGTCGTCAGTCCTTTTCATATAAGTTCAAAAAGAAATCTTGTATTTTTGTTTCCGACCTGGAATTTTTCACGTTAGCTAAAACTTAGAATCGTCTCATTACTGAAAATATGAATCGTACTTATTTTTACTAGGAAAAACTATTAAGTATCGATTCGTGCGTACTACCCTGGCTTTCATCTCTGACGACTTTTTCGGCCCTGGCTTTTCCGCTGCCTAACAACAGTTTGCCTTGACAATTGTATCTGACAAAATTCGATTTTTTTCGACCCCCTTCATTTTTTTTACCGACCTTTCCTCCACCGTAGCCGCTTTCTTCTTTCATCTGTTTCTCTGTTACAGCAAAAAAAAATGGAACTTACACAGAGTTTACCACTCTAATTGCGTTAAATTTATATTATAAACACCAATTTATTTTCCTTTGCTAAGGTGCCGCCATACGCCTGCCGACGGCAAACTAGTTTTTTTTTACTAGGCGTTTATCAGCTACGCTAGAGTTAAGATACGTGTTACACTTGAAAAGCTACGATCATTAGTTTGAAATTTCTGTCTCGTACGTTTGTGTATTTAGATGATTGATTTTTCAGTTTTCATCAAGCGCCTTCCGCGTGAAGATTCAATTTAATTGAAGATTTTTTCTTGCATTGCCCGCGCTACTAATCAGTTCTTGAACTCGGAACACTAATCCGACAGATTTAGGGTAACGAGATGACCTTAAGCAACCAGGCAAACACATTTCATGCTACGTCGCATTCACAAGCGTGTTGTTGCAATATCGAAAACTAAAATAGCAGCACAGTACCAATCGTGTGTTATGATATATTACAGGTGTGGAGAAATGACCATTCATAAAGAGCAAAAATAGAACACAGAAAACAAACATCCGTTCGTTTAGATAGAAACGAAAAAGGTCCCGGGTTGGTCGAAATGCGGAAAGGTAATCTTCTTAGTGGAAATACTAACGAGCGATATAAAACTGCAAAACTTCTATCAAGCAAGAGACCCCTCTGTGCGTATTCGTGTATCTGTGTGTTTGTGTAGGAAACCAAACTAGAAAAGAGAAAGTGAAGGCGATATAAACAGTAGATCGCGCGGACAGCGCACACTGCGGTAAATGCAGCGAGATAGATACGTGGCCTTAACCTAAAGGCGTCACACTATTAGATAATCCGAACCCTCGCTTAATCCCTATATGAATTTTTTATTTTGATACAAATTGGCTGTATATGACCTTACCATAAACAGTGGTAAATTGCACATCAACGGAATGATCGATAACAGTAGACAAAATGAATTTGAAAGAAATTAACGATGGTGGACGCAGATCGGACGTTTATCGCAATATCATCGGAGCGATTTTGACAATCAGTATTAATAAACAGCTTTAGGGTAGCTTGTTTACGTAGCGTTGAGTAGTCAGCTGACTCATCTGATATATGGCGCTCATGCGTACGGGATTTCACACAAAATACAGAAATTGTTGAAATGCTAGTTTTTACGTGCATGTTCATGCAGTTCTCTTAATATATCTTTACAGATAGACTATGACGCTGAACGGACTTACAAGGACAATGTTTTATTGCTAAGATGGTGATGTCATTAACTACCATTTTTTAGTTTTTTAAGCTATAGAGCACATTTCCAGTGTTCGGCTCTCTGCGTGGAGCGCATTTCTGCGAAGATTGATGGGGACAGAGGTAAACAATCTTCTATGATTATGTGCGCTTCATTGGAAACGGACAAACTTCATATTTGGCTGTTTAAGATTATAAGGTAGCTATTACTAAGGTGGATAAGAGCTGTGCAATCTCGGCAAAACTATCTTTCGAACGCTGAGCTTTTGACAACATGATCACGTTCCCGAAGGTTCACAGTAGAACACCAACCTATGTGAGTAACTCAGTGAACAGATCTCAAGTAAGAGTCGAACATCTTCTCTGCCTATCTGATACCAGGTTTACCTAAGATTTCTATATGGTGGTTTATATTAGTCAACGCACTGAAGTAATCTGAACCGAATATTAACGTATTTTCTTAAATACTCGAATTTCGTCTTTACGGGCTAGAAAATGGACTAATACGAAAAGAATTCCAAAAAACTCATTAGCGTAATGAAAACATATGCATCAGTCTGATCTGCTCCGCCCGTAGCTTTTATGGGTAACTTCAAAAAATGTATACGAACCTCGAATTGGGGCCACATCGTCGGCATGCCATCACCATGATTATTTGCCCAATATTTTAGGTCTTTTGAGTGATCAGCGTTAGCAACCGTGTGTCGGAATTCATCGTAGATTTGCGGTAGTTCGGAGTCGTCTGTGAGGTTAAGACACGCATGGACACCAAGCAGCATCTCGCGGAAGAACGTCAATCGTCGTGCTTCCATGTCTTGACAACGCTGTTCGTTTGCGAAGGAAGCAGTTAACAACGAGCGAATTATCCGGAGCCACAGAAACAATGCAACGATGAGAAAAATAAGGTTACTTCGGGAAGAGAAAACGTTGCGTGAACAATAGTATTATATATGCATTCTTGAAGGATGTCATAGTGATCATATGATTGTCATTAGTAAGCCGGTGAATATTTGAACTGAATATATATATATATATATATATATATATATATATATATATATATATATATATACATATATATATAAAACTGGGAGGGCCACACAGAGAGCTATACGTACAACGACAGTTTGGAGCTTTGATAGTACCTGCCGTCACAGTCATATGTTTATACCCTGTAAGTGTATAACCTTCACTACATAGAGAGTATGACAGACATTTGAAAATTTTTTTTTACGTTATATCGTACCAACGGTAAAGACAACAGTAATATAAAAAATTAAAAGTGAAAAGGGTTTTCATGGGTCAATGGCTTTGAAAACTTCCTTTGACTGCTGACGATATTCCCTAATGCCACGGACAGTTGCTGCTCGGAACGATTTTTCGGGCTAGTAATTTGCTCTTCTAATGGCTTGTCAGAGAAAATTGAGAGTCAGAGCGACTGACCAATAATCCATCTTATCGCTGTGTTACAAAATGGACGATTCTTTCAAACAATCTACGTTTTCGATAGAAGAATCGTCACTTACTGCATATAATTCTACTAAATCAAACTTCTAGCAAATAGAAGAACTTGTCGCCGTATGTAATTTAGAGATGTGGCATGTCGATTAGTTAATCGAAACATGATATTTTCCTTTACTGAACATAAAACTTATATTGTACTCGCGCGCCAAATCATGTGTGGCCATGTCACATTCATGCCATATATTAGAGCTCACGAATCCTCTGGCTATTCCTACATATTCGTTTCTGTTGAAAGTAAATAATTTTCTCACGGTCTTTACCTTCCCTTTCTTTTGTGAAACATTTGGTGTTTGTGAACAACATTTTGGCAGTATAATGCATCGCCGAAGATGCTTGTCGTCACAACTTGTTTATTCTGTTGCAGTGGGCCATTGATCTTTAGCACGGTTCAACAGACTTACGTAAATCTATCGAGTACAGTATTAGTAAATAATATTTTTAATGAGTTGATAATATTTATGAGTTTCTGTTTTTAATAAGTCATATCGAGTAAACGATTCAAGTTTAACCAAAAAATCCTTTTCGCTACAAACTGACCCTTGGTTATGGACGTCGAAAGCAACACAATTTTTTAGGGACACTTATTGGTTCGTTATGTGTTCCAGTTGCCGTTAGCAGCTTGGTTAACGGTTCTCGTCGAAACGTTCTTTGACTAGCTATCGATTTCCAGCTGCTGCTGAGGTGTGGGGGGATATCTGGCCGGTGAATCATCCTTGAGCAAATATACGCTTGAGCAGTAGTAATAATAGCATCAGTACACAGTATTAGACAAAGGCTCGATTTCAATGGCATATTGTTTTGGTAAAGCGATCTGTTGCTGAAATCTTCTGGTGATAACGGTGAACAATAGATTTGCCCGCATTCTAGTCATTGTCGTCTGCTGGGGCAAAATGCCACCGACGTGGTAGTGATCAGTAGATAAGAAACAATGCCGGATATGGAAAACGAGCCATTGGCAAATATTTCGTACCTAATTGTTAAGCCGCGTGATCAGAACGACAACCTGTGGATACCGACAGATGAATAATACGTATTTGATGGTCAATAAAGCCGAGCAAAAACTTCTTGCCGCAAAGTTGTTCTGAGGTATATATAGTACTGAATTAACCGGCCAACGGCAATCAGTTGTTCCTTCACAGAGGTTCACTCAGCTATTATGTCAGTCTTATTATTCTTTGGCTTAGAAAAGCAGGATGAAGCCTTCAGTTTTAGTTCATTCGCATATCCCATCAAGAGAAGACATCTTTTGAACTTCCACATCCGAATTTTTGTGGAAAACTGCATTTCTTCCTATGGTGGACTTTTGACAGCATACAAATACATTACATGGTACTATTTGCGAGCTAAAGACACACCCCCATTTTAGATGTGACAATGTCTTGGTTTATCCAAGTCAACATATCTAGCCAGATGAAGTCTGTCCTGTATGTAGTTGACTATCGCCGACTAATTTACCATTGACCTTCACCTTGAATGATTTCCGAATTTGTCGCTAAGCGAACGCTGGCACTGCTTTGGCAGTACTCCAACTGTAACGAACTGGAACCGCTGACCGGATTCTATCGATTAGTGTAGCGTTCGCGGTACCAGAACATTACAAATAAAAAAAGCTTTTCTGTTATATTGTATTTTATTTACGTGCACGTGCGTATGATACACCACACATTTATCGAACTGAACCTTCTGCTTGCGTCTTGGCCGCCAAGGGCGATAGCATTCAGTGTATTCTCCACAATTTCGTTGTTCAAACAGAACAAATAAAAAAATAGGCGGAATATTGCAAATATTTTAATAAGCAGAATTGTTATAACCTACTTATAATATATATATATATATATACTTATTTATAACTCGATAAAATTTAGACCATTATAGATTACCGAGCTTATAAATCGTCGTGTCAACACGTTGAACTAGCAGCGCAAAACAATGAAAAAATAATTAAAAAAAGTGACTTATTTTGTTGCGACATCTAAACAGTGTCTTAGGACACGTTAGGAAGTGCTCTGAGATCTGGCATGCTGCTTATCCTTTTCTGTTTGCAAGCACACTGAAAATCCTGCCTATTTTTCAGTGAGGAGGTACTGAAATCGAATTTACACTTAACTACAGCTTCTTACGGTCAACCGAAATGTATATTATATTGCATGTGCCTTGCATGCCTTGGCGTTGTAGTCGGGGCGAGAAACGTAATGGTCTTGTCACGATTACGTGGGCTTGCTGGACATATGGGTCGCAGAGTGCTATCCCAATAGCTCTCAGAACGCTGGTGGGCTCATCTTATAATTGTCAAAGCGTAAATCTTATTTTTCATTTTATTTCCGTTCATTTTACACATGACGTTGAAGACACGGTCAACGGTTCGTTCCTACACCACCGCCCACCCTCATCAAGTTAAAGGTGACCGGTGGCCTTTTGAACAAAATTCACATTGCGGTTTTTTCCGTTTGCCGGCCCCGCTAAGATGTTGTTTTTGGTCGGAAAAGAATTTGTTCACTATTTCGTTTGAAACTAGCTTGGCATTGCACCCTTTCATAAATTACTACCAACTTTTTATGGTAAGGTTTGTATTAATACCACCATTGCACTACTGCTGAAGCACTTATGCTCACCACTCATCATTCAGTTCTAACGCATTGACTCTTGCTAATTATTGAAGTTTTAGATTAAGCGCATACCTTTTAATTTGGTGTAAGCGGTTTACCCTTCGTTGCTCTCTTGTAAGCAAATAATGGTGACACTGTTTTTAATTGCACTTTTTCCCTTTTAATTTTACTAATTTTTTCTAAAAAAAATCCAGCGCTATTTGTAGCCCAGTATCGCCGTCTATTTGTTGCAATACATACGCGGCAGTACATGTTGCATATTTGCTAACAAAGTACCAATGGTTCATAAGGGAGCTTCAAAAAACATTGACCCCGTTGAAGACGGAGTATTTTGAGAATCAGGCCATGAGGGGTCTCCGTCGATTTCCGTCTCCGTTTACAGCTTGGGCTATAGGAGTTTCCTTATTAGAATATTGAGTATAGTTCAGATTTTGTGTAGAAACCGAAAAATATGTCTCTAGCGATCTGAGAATGGGCAGAAAAATGACAAGTAGAAAATAGACAAGTTTTTTGTCCATAAAAAGATAATAGTAGGTAAATTGGGGGTCTTTACTCGTGTCTATTTCGTGAGGTACCAAGAAGCGTTGTTTATGGTTGAATGATGACTTGCTCAGCGAAGCAACCTAATACCGGAGGGACCCACTTTTATTATTATTTTTTTTTATATATTTATTAGGAGGGCTTAACGTTAATCCCTGACCGGCATTTCTTCAGTCATATTCCATTCAACATAATTCACTGATTGTTTTCCGTGCCATTTACACTATATATAAAATATTTCAAATGTACGGTGAGTAGGAAATAATACGACGACCACCAAATCGTTCGGGTACCAGTTTGGCTAATCAGTTACAACTTCGCATCAAAGCGTATCAGATCATGAAGATTTCGATCGATTATGATAACCTTACATAATTATGATTTGATCAATCACTCACCTGAAACACATCTGACATGTCCGCTTTATACCGATCGTTGTTCTCGCCGATCTCCTTTAGCGCCTGGTCGTATTTGTCGCGACAGCGGGCGACATCTTCTCGGCATTTTTCAACACGGTCGCCGAGCTTCTTCATCTGGTCAGGACTAAGCGAACTGTCTGCTCCGGCGTTTCTCTGCTGATTCTGAGCGGACCGCTCCTGTTTACAAGCAGCATGATAGTCAGCTTTGGCACGTTCGACTTTTTCGAGCATTTTCGCCCACTGTTTTTGCGCCTACAGATATATGGATGAAAACAGAAGCAGAATTGAAATTATATAGATTAGTTTCTGACTGGTTTAACTCAGCAGCCGTTATGATATGAGGGTCACGCCACGGTGGAATTAGAGATTTGAAAAAAATGTAGGAACACGTGATTTAATGTGAATTAAGTTTATTTCAGCTAGTGCTGAATATTGATTAGCATCTAAGCGTCACAATGAAAGAAGAAATTTATTAAAAAAGAGCGAAATTTAAAAAAATGGCGAATTTATGTGAAGGTTTACCTAGAATTCACTGACATCCAGTGGACAAATTATGGAATTACAACTGTTTGGCAATCTACAAGCGGCGGTGGCCTTCCGAAGACGATGTGATAAAAGGCACGAATACCTTTACCGCTCTGAAGTGCAATAATATTAAACATGAGCTCAAAAAGATTTTTCAGCTAGTACAAGTACTAGAGATATTATTAATTTGTATAATTTCAATGCTTGCACTGTGATTTGTTGAGTTAAACAAACAACTTAGGGTCGCCGCCGTACACACAATATTAGGCGTGGGTTACCTGCATGCAGATTAAATAGGAACGGTCCAGGTCTTAATACTGGCGGTTCATAAAGGTGTTTTTGACACACGCTTTACCTACCCAAACAGTGTCGGTTTTGTTTTATAGTAAATGTTTCGAGGATTGTTAAGCATCACTTCAAATTAAGTATCACAATATGTACTTTATTTTAAACATAGGGCATATTTGTCGAGACTGGTAACAGATTTGAAAAAATAATGCTGAAATACCGGAAGCATGCCCAATTTTAAGTTTGATTGGACAGCGTTTAGTAGTTTGCTTGTAATAACTCGACGTGTCTACGCAATTCTCACAGATCTATTGGCGAAGGTTCCGTCATTGTTCTTATTCATTGAGTACCGGGCAATTTTTCAATAACTAAAATAAAGTATTTCTGTAAGTGTTCATGCTAATTAGAAATCTAAATAGAACATTTTAGGAATAGCATCTGTGACAGATCGTAGATGAATCTCGTTCTATTAATGAGAGTAGTGATCGCAATTCATTTGACTCATGCAATATACTAGGCTTTATGTCAATGCTCCTATTTGATTTCTGGCAATCAGCTCGTTCACGACTAACTATTTAATCATCTCCAAATAATACGAACAATTTGAATGTGTTATAATAGATATTTTTTCCTTTTACCACTACGTATTTGTAATAAACGAAATTTCACTTTCGATTCGAGGATCGAAAACATTTCATTGCAGGCCTTCAGTTCGTTCCGTTTTCTATTCCTCGGTCGCTTAGCACAATCGAGTTCATGGTAATTTAGAAATTTAGTGATGGGTCCACCCACGGCAGTAGTTCCTCCGGGGATCTGTCAGTTTGACGAATCTTAATTGTTCGGTATCATCGCGACGCCAACCGCTTGGACAGAGGAGCCAATGAACTCACAAATACCAGAAACATACATAAGTGTGGTATGGAGAAACAACGATTTAGAATAGCGTCTTATTTATACTTCATTGCTGCACTAAAAATTGACATAGTCTCTTGAGAAGGAATGTGCTTTGTATAGCCACACTCATTGTAAGTAATTTCGTTTTTTAGCCAGATATTAGCAAAGGTTTCACGTATCATCGCGTATTAGTTACCACAACGAGACTCACATGTATTGAGGACTTATGGCTCAATGCCAAAATTTTAAAAAAAATTCGTTCCGCTGCTCCATACAGTACTCACGCACGAATACACATAGATAAAAACATGATATATCGGTCTTCGTATATCTATCTATCTGATCAAGCAAACACACAAACAACAAAATTTATGAGGGACTAGCTCTCGGCCCCAGGTTTTTGTCCCTGCCTCGTGACAACACAACGGACCACACCTTCGACTGATGGGTGTGATGGGTTAACCGATCACGCCAGGTGGGAAGCAGCTCGACGATCAAAAAGCGGTTGGAAAATAGACCCGTTTTCCAAAAGCTGAACCCAACGACGTGGTGAAAGAAGGTTCCACAATGTTTCGTCTATAAATAAATTGCAATCTGCTCGGTGGTCGAGCCGATTCGTGGTGGTTGGAAAATCTTTAGCCGAATTGATACAGGCACCCCTGTGCGTAGCTAACAGCTATGAGATAGTATCGCAGACGTGGTGTTGGTCGACGTTTTTGTAAGGACGAACGAGCAAGCATAGGAAGAGCGGAGGCAACGTCAGGAGCATCAACAATAACAACGACAGCAAATGTTAAAATTTTCTATCATGTTGTTGCTCGACTTTGCATTCCCGGCCAACCTCGTTTACACCTGTACATGAATACTCTTAGCAACTTCCAGCGTATTACTTGGTTTCGTTGAACAACGACCCACATGTAACTCCGGGGCGAGTCGGCCAACCCTGGTAGAACCGCCCCAACCGCTATTTCGCCATCCGAACGTTCAGACACACATACACACTGATGCAGATCATAAACATGTATAGGGAAAGCGTTTTTAAGAGTGGAGCAACCTGTGATGATAGCAACAAGAGAAACTAGATTATGCCGTTGTTACAGAACAAATATTCGCTTTCAGGAAGCGTCATCCTTTCATGTCTTACAGCGTCCGTATCTTTTTCGTCGTTTTTTGTTTTATTAGACGAACAACGATGCATCTTCCAGAACGCATTTGGAGTGGACGCTGTAGTCATCCTCGGAAGTTTTCCCTTGTATTTTTCGAATGTTAAGTCATCGCTAACTATTCGTCAACAAGCACGGAATATCAGACGTTGTAGTGGTAACACTAGCAGTGGTCACACGGGATACCTGTCAGTTTCGCTGTTATCATATTGAGGGAATACTTTAGGAAAAATCACCGAATAATATCACGATTCGAATAACTAGATGTCAAGTAAACGCGGCCTAGTTTGGCCTGTACAAACCATAAGTCTAGAAGAGTCCGAGTCGGTAGCAGAGCGGAGAGACTCTGCAGAAGACAGTGTCGCCAGCAGCGGTGAAGCCACGAAGACACTCCACGTCGATACGCTCTCAGCCACCATCATCATATTTTATTGCGTTATATTGCACGCAATCGCATCGGCCTTTTCGCATGCGACGGCTATTGTATCGTTACATCTACATTATACGACGCCTGAAGACTTGAATAAGACAAGCAGCAATCGACCACCGCAGATCCGAAAACCCAATATTGAAACCCACGGAAACCATGGCACTCCGTAAACGATACTCCCGAATCGACCAGGTCGACTGTACGGTAGTCGAGAAGGAAATATTAACATCCAGCCGGGCAAACGATTCGAATAATAATAATAATTATTATTATTAATACTGATAATAAAAAAAGCATTGGATCGGGGAAGTGTAAAGAAACAGGTCATAACAAACGGCAAACAAAAACAAATCTCATAGCATTGACATTCTCAGTAACATAAAAAACAAGAAGCGTATACAGAATGTAAGTACACCTTGGAGGTCGTGTAAACAACTAACAAGATAGTGGCTACGCGGTGGGAAAAAAACAAAACACTATTTACTTTCAAAGAAATGTTGACATTGCGTTGATTTGCTTACTTATATTCGAAAAAAAGAACGCCTGACCTGCCATCATTATTAATTAAATTGCGGTGAAATCATAGTACTATCATACTACAAAATCCAGCCTGCAATTGTTTTCCTATAAATTATTGAAAAATTTACTCGGGCCAAGCTACGTACTCATCATTAACAAAGTAAAAGGTCACGTAAAATAACAGGTCTGGTGTTACCCAATATCCGTTCAACTTCGTAGGATTTTCGTTTAATTAACAAGCTGTCCGTGGTTCTCTACATATTGTAACCACACTATGCCCTTAAAGCACTTTCACCCATTGGTGGACAGCATGCATTACATTGTCCATAAATTGACTGCAGTCTATTTACTTATAGCTCTAACGAACCATTGAAGCGCTATATCGTTATGGTAAGTGCAGTCAGCTCGCATCACATAGAGAGATCAACGCAAAACTCGTATCAATATCAATCGATTTAAAGTATCTATCTATTTAAAGTAGAACAGTCGAAACAACATTTAGCTAAATTGGAAAACATCCGGCATAGCGTGCTATAAATGGCGGAAACATAAAAAAAATCTGATGAGATTTGCCTGCATATTCTCTATATATAAAAAGAGAAAATTTCAATATGTGAAAAAAAAACGAAGAGTTCAATGGTACTCCTATTCCATTTCGGTAATGGGGGAAATGGTGCTGAGAGAATTAGGCAACCCACATTGAACGAACTTTGCCACGTACAGATTACAGTAGTGTCCTATATATAAGTTATTCTCACATACAGATGGCAAAAGGATTAACGTTCTTTTATTGGCCTAACGAAAGCACTCGTTGTAACGGGTGATTCTGACTTCGCAACAAGCCTATCGATCGTCACCTTCAAAGCTTCCCTATTCCTATCCATTTGGACAGGAAACACTTACAAGGCTACGGAAACGAGACGTTTCGCTATAATTCTACGCGGAACGTGCTTATAAATGCAGTAGGATCCATAAACGCTATATAATGTTATTATTACCGACGACAGTTCTCCCGATATTGCACGTTAGCAACGATTTCGTACGGCCAGCCTGGTGCAATGTGCAGGGCACCGAGGCGCGTCTGACCAAAGGAACCAATCAAGCAAGGACGTACCGCACACGCAGACGTTGTAAGGACTCTACTCACAGGTGGACTCAATTAGTCCGGCAGAAGCCATTTAGACCGTATCGACAGTCTGAATGTTCTCGAATAGTTATCCTGCACGAACGTTACTAGGTGCATAACAGTAGTCACATTCCACTTCTAGCTGTCCTATACAGTATAACGCAGGAAATGAAGCTATTGCTATCTTTTTTATGGTTTTGCGATTTCTTAAGATCACCGGTGCGACTGTGTGAAGTGGATGAATACCTCTGACAAATTGAATTCGATAGGAAAATCGATATCGTCGTATTACCCAACGTACATATAA